GTAAAGGGTTTTGAGCTTGGAATTTTGGAATTCTTCAGGGGTAAAAGGTTTTGAGTTTGGAATTCTTCAGGGGTATAACCATAAAAAACATGTATCCTCGACAGGGGGTGTACGGATATTAAATGGAATAGCCCATTTGCCGTTTGTGGTCTGCCGTAAACGTCAACCTTAAGGTCTCTATTGTCTAGAGTATGTTACCTGTGGTCCATTTGCATTGATCGTCAACACTTTCCCAGTGTTAGCGTAACTCTTACCACGACCTAGTCTTGCATTTGTATCCAGACGTCTACAAAAATTAAAATTTTCATTTTGTTATATTATACAGTAGTTCAATAGCCTGCCCGGCCCTGCAGGCGATAAATCACAGTCCGTAGAGTTATAAGAGTTCTAGTTTTAATAATAGTACAGTGTACAGTCTGTAAGTACCACATCTGAGGTGGCATCCTTACTATATTTGATTGGCTTCCTTTTTGTCATAATAGTCCAATCAGAGGCTTTGTGTACAAATCGTTTGTGAATTTCAACTTGGAATTTGTTCGCGTCACTTGCAAATTGCTCAGAGCAATCTGCTTATCAAAACTGCATACAATATTGTGGGGTAATATTGCAATGTTGCTCGCAAGATAACATCCGGTTTGACTGTAAATATGATTGGTTGAAAAGAATAAAGATGCAATTTAAGTTCAAGATGATGCCATTAAAGGAATGCGATTTGGGAATTAATCTCACTATTTTTGACAACTTAGATTGCACGAAACACCACAGATTTCAAAATGAATATAATAAAAATAGGTACGCACTGCGTACATGTGGCTATCCTAATACAGACTGTTGGAGAACTTTAAATGCTATTACATATAATAGGAAATAAATACTATAGAATACTTGACCAAAATGAAGCTAGATAAGCAGGTACCGAATATTTTATTCCTACAATTACTACATTTTAGAGCAATAATTAATTGATAGCAATGGTCAAGCGAGTAATAGTACTGCGGCCAGTTGTTCAAAGCACAATTAGCGCTAACCCTAGGTTAAAATTTAACCCGCTGTTTTGGTTTGCACATTTCTTCAGATCGGTTTGTTTTAAAAATTCAGAAAATAGAACTTTTATTGATCCAGATAAGATTTCTGGAGAAATATTCTAAGTGTATAAACAAACTGTGGGAAATTTGCTGTAATTGTTTTGTACTACTAACCTACTGGAGGATTAAGCTAACCGCCTTTCGAACAACCGGTCCTCGTTCTTACACTTCAATAAATGATTTTATTCAATAAATGCTTAAGCAAACTTTGCCTGGGTCACTCGTACGCAATTTCGAGCTAATTTTGACGGCATAGCTAGCTCTAATACATTTTACATGAAATTGATGTTATTCTCTGTAATTGATGAAACTATCAAATCTGGCTGGATCATGTTATGCAGAAGCTATCATGAACGAATCCCGAATTATCAAACTGACTGAAGCCCCAAAGGTAACGGAGCACTAAGAATATGTGCGGATCTTTGACGTCTGAACAGTGATATCGGCGGGAACGATACAATGTAGCAACACTATTTAGCAGTGCCATAGTGTTCACGTATCTACATCTTATGTTTGGATATGACTACCTTTATAAGCTAAAAGTACAACAAATTAACCGCAACCTTCATAAAAGTTGGCCGTAAGTTCAGTAAAGATGGTGTACATGCAGACCAAGCAAAAGTGAAGGCGATAGTTGAAATGTCTGTTTCTACAAACGCCCAGTATCTACGACAGATTTTTGAGGAATGATCATGACATCAATCAACGACTTGTTTAGTTGAAGAAAGATGGCCAATGCTTTTTGGGAACTATAGTGATCTAGTATATAGTATTTTATATAATAACGTTAAGAATTCAAGCGCTTTCATTGGTCAAGAACCATGATCTATTAGAGGAAAGACGCACGGAATTACGTCACACAAATGTCACAAAACCTTATCCAATAGCATTCCCTTATTTGTATTGATCATGTACGCCATTGTACGCCATGATATTTGTAAAATTTCGATATTTTCAAATTTCCAAATGCTTGGGTGGATAAAACCTGTTTAAATTCGGGGGTTTCCTTTTTATTATATAAAACAAATAGATAAGATTTTGTCGTTGTCTGTTCAGTTATAGATACACAGTATGACGTCATAGGTATATACAGTTATAGATACACAGTATGACGTCATGCCGCCGAGGCGAGTGGGCCACCTTTTGTGAAAACCACAGACAACGGCAAAATCTTATCTATTTGTTAATCACATAACATAGTTATTCAGGACATAACCATATATGTCCATATGTTCAAGCATGTGACTAGGAAGAGAGCATGGATACGAATATAGATATTGATAGGAGTGTCACAGCAAGAAAGAAAAGCTTGCATGAATATTTATAAATAAATATAAGAACGTTACAACAACACAAGATAAAGCATATATTGATATCAAGCAAGCTCATTCGCCCAATGACACTAACCTTTTATGATGTAAGCAAACCCACCCAGTCGGGCAATATTCGCTCCACAGTCGGTCAATATTGGCTTATTATAAAAATAAATGGGAGAAATTCTGTCAATTTTGTGGGAAATTCTGTCAATTTCGTGGTCAATTTTGTGATGTCTAGAAAATTTGTATGATGTTCCGAAAAATTCTGGTATGTCCGAAAAAATTTTGGACCCCTAAATTTTTCCGAAAAAATTTTTCCGTCACTGGTCGGGCACAATCCGAAAACGTCGGGCAAATTTCTTTCCGCCCCCCTAATTTTTTCCTTCCGGTACGCCCATGAACCCACTATTAATACCAGCAGCTATGGACAGGAAGCTGAACCTCTGCACGAGAAGGATCATGGGCTAAAACCAAGCAAAAGTTTTTGTGACCCATACCTTGTTTCTATATATAACATTAGAAACATATGGAAAATTGAGAAGCAGTGTTTTAGCTAGCATTCGGGTGTGTGAGAAATTCGATACCTTATTAGCAAGAATTCGAGTTATTCACTGGTACATTGTGAAACTGAGATTGTGACCAGTGTTGCATGACTGTCTTAAGTAATGAGATACAGTAGAATAGCGAGACATACGTTTACTGTCCTAGGAAGCAGAGTCCGATAATTCATGCACTTGCTCAATATTATGGTCAGGTACTTGATGTTTTCAGCCAGGTACCACGTATGTAGGTACGCGGAACTGTTGCTATCTGCATACTTACTTTTTGCTGGCACCATTAGTAGGTACAGTATAACATGTCATAGATGTCTTGGCATAAAACATGATTGGACTGATGACACTCGATTGTTTGTATATGCAATTGCGCTTCTTGTTCTAACTCGTAGTTTTAGTATACTTGTCAGAAACCTGTATTATATGCCCTTTATTTCAAAGACTAAGTCTAAGTAAACATCAAGTATTGAGTTTCTACTAGCGCAAGTACGAGGCAATAATCATTGGAGTTCCATTCAGGTAGGAGTAAAAATCTTGAATTATTGCACCCTGTGAAGAGCAGAACGATCAAATAATATTGCAAATGATCTATGTGATCTTCCGTCGGTAAGACCAAACCTCTGTCACAGAGAGTTAGCTGCTTTATGAGATTAACGGCAGAGTATTAGTGTTTGGAGGTAGGTGCCGTTTGTGGTCCAAGGCCGCAACTAGCCTTGATGGCAAGAAGTATTGCCATAGAAGCTGCGCAGCAACGAGAGCAACAATCAGTAATATTGTCAGTCACACTGACAAGTCAGTGGAAACGAAATACAATGTATAGTTGTCTATACATCCTATTCCTGTGAGATTAAAAAAAACCCACAAAAAAAACAACAAAAAAACAACACGAAACAACACCCCCCCCCCCCAAAAAAAAAATACCGAAAGACTACCAGATAAAATCCTCTAGAATATCATGGGTGGGTGGGTGGGGAAAAAGTAACGAGGCGCTAAACTTGCTGCAACTAGGCAAAGCATACAATGGCAGAATGACTACCCAGACCAAAGCAATGATCACAAGGCGCGAAACAACCCCCTTTGATCGATATGACGTCACAGACTCCCCTCAGCGGATGCAGCATGCATAATACATCCGCCGTTAACCTTCCTTAAATATATTTAACCACATAAAAAATAATTAACCCTAAGGCTTTTCAGTTCGTCCTCGAGATAAATACAGTACATCATGGTTACCGGGGTATTATGAAGTGCAATGAAGGAGATAGAGATGCTGTTTGATGGTTTGGAATTGGAAGAATATGAAAAGATGCACTGTAACTCGCCCATTGTATAATTTATGCATGATACATAACTTAATTCACTTGCGGAGGTATGTACCTCTAATTTGACATGTTTTTACAAACAGCCAATCACATGCAAGATTCAGATTCTGGACCTAATAATTAGTATGGAGTAATAAGTATGAAGTAAAAATTTGGAGGTTGCCAAATTTTATAGGTTGCCAACATATGTATGACAGCCTTTTGTTCATTTGTTGGCAACACAGAGGAAATTGGAAGTTAACTTGCTACTAGCCTGCATATAGCAGCCATGTTTTTTGGGGGAGGAGTTGTGGGCAGGAAAATTAGGGCAGGAGAAGGGCAGACAGATGGAGAAAAGGGCGGGCGTGAACAGGCACCATTCTCCCGCCAGCAAGTCTTCCCTCAAAAACTAGGCTAACCTACAATCAAGAGCAAAAATTATTGAGACCCCCCACTTCCCCCAAAACAATGTTGTTTCCATGATACCAAACCATAGTGTTGGCAGAAAACATTCACCCAACATTGTCAATGGGGGGAAATAGTAAGAAAAGATCGAATTATATGAGTGTGGATGTGTCAAAATGAAAAAAAAATGTTTGAAATACGTAAAGTCTCATTATTTTTGCACGTGATTGTAACTCTTACCCTATTCAGACATCCCGATACACTTACTATTATCAGAAACAAATTTTTTCCCTCCCCCTCCAGAAGGCAGAAATTTCCTCCATGGGGGAAGTGTGGATCTTTTCTGGAAGGATCCATTATTCAAATCACTCAATATAATTAAGATCCTTGATCTGGTTACTCAAAATATTACACTTTTCATGCATCAATTTTACCATCAGCTTTTATACCACCAGTACTGTATTTCATAATATTTTTCATTCACAGCTATAATACAAGATTAGCAGCAAGACAGTCTCATTATATTCTCCTCAAATTAGAACAAATTATGGAATTTTTAATGTCAGATTTCAAGGTCCAAACCTTTGGAATCTAACTGATGAGCATGTCAAATGTTCGAGTCTTCAAAATTCTAACAGAGTTTAAAATGTTCATTTTGTTACCAGTACTAATATTGATCTATTTCCATGATTTTGTTTTGATTCCATGTATAGTAGCTGATACAAATATGTGAACTCACCCGAATTGAGCGGGTGACACCCACATTTCGGAAACATCACCCGCGTAAAAAATGGCACTTAAATTAAATTAAATTCACATGCACGCATAATCAGATGATAATTCTCCGTAGGAGATTTTGTAGGAGTAGGCTATGCTGAACTATGTAGCCTAATGCACTTAAAACATGATCTCAAAGTAGAGAATGTATTCTCTATTCTGTGGTAGAACCAAAGATACACGTTTCTTTTGTTTAGTTTCGACTGAACGGTTGTGACTTTACGAAACATTGCAAAACTTTTATTTATTCCCTTTTACAAAACTTTAATTTAACCCTGTATTCTGTAACTTCACTCTAAATACATTTGAGGACTTCACATTTACATGTTTAAACAAGAACAGAAATGATATTTGTGATGTTACTCTGAGTGTGCATCCACACCGGGCAAGCTGAAAAGTTTGCTTGGCCACGGTGGGAATCAAACTTTTCAGCTTGCTCGGTGTGGATGCACACTTAGAGTAACATCACAAACATCATATTCACCTGTCAGAGTACATAACTCCAACACACACAAATAAGAACAGAAATATTCTCTTTTTGGCTACAAAAGCTAGTTGTTATTGGCATTGTGGTTGTTACAGTGTTTCAGTGTATTGGTATCACCCGCAATTTAGGTACTTAGGGTTCACATCTCTGTGATATGATTATGTGTATTTGTACATGTGTATTCTATTTTAAATCTTTGTTTGAATTCCTCAATTATACAAAGTGACAAAATTATACAAAGTGACAAAATCTTTAAAAGATATAATCGATAAAACCAAGAGGGGGTTGGGGGCATTCTCCCCAGAAAAATTTGCGTTTCAGAAGCCTTGGAAGAGTATTTCCGTGTTTCCTGAGAGGAATTTTTATAATTTGAATTTCATTATTTTGCAATGCACTTTATAACTTTTTACAACTTCATCCCCTTTGTTTTGAAACAATGTTTGCCCTGTACACAATCATAAGTGTTGACATATACACAATAACAACAAACTGTTGCAGATAATATAAGTTGGTTGTAATTGCCTGTGCAAAAAAGAAATAAAGTACAAAAAGAAATAAAATCCTCATGGGAGAGGAAATTATTGGGGTGCGGAGTAAAATTACGGGAGAAAACATGTGGGTGGGAGTAAATTATTGGGGAGTAACCTGCTCCTGTGGGGAGGAAATAAAAATTATTGGGGAGGAAATTAAATTATTGGGGGGGGAGGAAACTATTGGGGGAGAGCTCAGAGGGGCACGCTTCCGAAGGCCTTGCAACTAATCTAGTATGCAAAGTGGGGTAATTTTCCGTTTGGTTTCAACAGACATACTGTAGTACCAGTGACCTCTTGACCTTAACATTTATACCTGATATATAAAATGCAACACAATACATTGTATTTTGTAACATACAAACGGCAAACCAAGGACGACATAACTATACTTTAATAATTTTGCTGTGCGCAAGTGGAATACACCATTTCGTTTCCAAATCCGGAAATCGAGGGCTACTGATTGTCGCTAAGCTTTTACTGAACGTCGCTTTGTATTTTTATATGCCGAATTCACATGCAATGCGACTAAATAATGCCTGTATTGGTATAACAATAGAAATAGTGAAATAGCTCAGTGTATAGTTGATTTAAAATATCATAAATAAATACCAAGTCAATCAAAGAGTTCTTTATATTCCGCGACGGAAAATATGGAGACAATTCCAGCCACAGAACACGTGCAAGGTTCAACACAAATATTTGACTTACCCAAGGGCATCCAAAAAGGCCTTTCCCCACGTCGTTTTACCGTACTCATTCTTCACCATATTGAAGCCAAATGTGTCTCCACTTGCCTTAAATCAAACAAGATAACACAAAATTAAGGTCTTTTTAATAAAGCGTTTCTGACAATGCATTCAATGATGTCGCGTCGAAAGTCTGCACATCCGGAAACGTCGATCACTGACACCAGGCGCATATTCCCGCCAATTCCCGCATTTATTGACTGCCATTTCCGGAAGATGATGTAACTGTAAGCAACCAACCATTCAACCAATCACGTTCTTACAGTTAATTTCTGTTTATAAATTATAATTCTTTCCGGTCAGGTCATAATAAAAATACAAAATATAATATCAACTGCGAAATCAAAACGAAATATAAAGAAACTCGTACTGTCGTACAAATGGGTCGAAGTTACAGCATTTAAAAGTTGGACAAAAAATTACGTCTATCATGTCACTGATGTCAGGAATTGATATTGGTATTATCGTACTAAAACAACTTGTTGACCAAGAGAAATGGATAACAGTTCTACATAAAATTGGTGAACGGTGTTCAGATGTACCACAGTTCCCAAACCACACCAGCCAGAATGATTATCGTTCATTCACTTTACAAGAACTATCGGCTTTAAAGTTCACCGAGAAGTTCAATTTTCATGGTTTGTAAATTAATTTTATAATTTGTTTTAATTAATCCGACAAGTTCTATTATTTTAAACTGTATCAATTTTATTTCATTTTCAAAACCAGCAATTAGAAATGAAAATGAAATGAATTGAAATAAATAATAAAATATGAAAATAAATTATAAAATATGATAGTATATTATATAAGGATCATCCATTTAGTATATAATCACAGGATAAAAGAATAAAGAATAAAGAACAGGAGGCCGGATGGCTGTATGTAGCTTTTTTTATTACTATTAAATTTGTCAGAAATGTCTACAGTTATAACAACACTGACAATGAACGTGACAGGGACGAGGAACAGGACTTTCATCCCAATTAGTGCCTGTCCCCTAACTCTCTATATATAACAGTGGCAATAATGACTGGGATTTGGCTGGAATTAAGAATAAGAATTGTAAATAGTTCTAACTTCCAGCCATGAGTCCCAGTATAGACCATCCAGAAGTCTGGATTGTCTGTGGTCCCAGTGACACTGAGCCATGTAATATAAACTGGCGAGCCTTGTTGCCACTGAGTTGTTGCTGCGGAGCAGGCAAGCCTGAAGCCAGTGAGCGAAGCAGCAGCCTAATTTGTGCAGAGAGGCATCGATCTGTTCAGTAACTTTTTCTAGTGTGTTGCATTGTGGTCGCGTGCTCAGTTGTTGTGCGCACAGTTTCCATGCATGTGCTTTATCCACCCGATATCTACTACACTACAGACTAGTAATTAGTTTTGGTCTCTTAGTTTAATACTCAGTGTATATATTGTGGTAAATGCGCTTAGCAGTATTTAGGCTGATAATATGAAATCCGATAGCAAAAACTTTTGTTACATAATTTACCTGTATGTCTTATGAATGCTTTGTCGTTTGTATTTATACGCGCACTATTAAAAGCAGCGCTTAATTCAACAGATTTCACTTGCAGAGTTGCAGACACTTGGTCTTGGAAATAATATTATATATATTCATGCTGTATGTCTTAAGAATGCTTTGTCGTTTCATTGTCAGTATTTATATGCGTAGTTAAGCAGCGCGTAATTGAACAGATTCCACATGCCATATAATGTGCAAGACTTCATCTCTTCCCTGAGATTTGACAAAGTTTCGCATTCCAATTTAAAAGTGGCAAGTACGCCCTTCAATAAATTCACAAACACTACTGTATGTTGTAGATCTCCTTTAATTAACTCTTAGGAATTACTCAGATGTTATCTGGATTGAATAGCGCTGTTCTTTTTTTCTTCGGTTGCTTGTGTGCCATTTACAATTTCAAATAAAGCACAACAACAGAAAATCAGATCTCTTCGAAAGCATTATGTGCAGCACTAATTAATTGACATGGCACTTTTGCCTATTACGCATGCAATCACAAATTTTGATTGGCTAAATAAATACAATATGGAAACAGGAAAATTAACAACGGCAGCATAATTACATACCGTAATTTGGCCGTGAGTGACTCACCAATTTTTTTATCTTTAATGTATGACCCAGTTTATATAAACACGCAGTAAAACTCATTTGGAAATTTGCTATTAGTTGTAAAGCCTATATTATTATAAAATCATCTAGCTTCAGTGTGTATAGACAGAATTGGTTATTGTCAGACGTAAGACAGTAAGTGAAGGCTCTTAGCGGCTAGCTTGCATAGAGGCTCTTAGCAAAGCGCATATAGGATTTTTATTGCTGAATTCCATTAGGCCTAGCTATAATCTGCTAGCAAAATAGCATGACTGCATTTGCTACTAATTGCTGCCAAAGGCAGCACTCCTAATCTTGACATGAAGGTTTCTCCAGAGTTCACTCAACCCAGTCTTTCGCGCCGATCTATGTATTGGCGAGATTTCGATTTGTGTCTGTCCGTTAAGATGTCGTAATTCCGGGGGGGAACGGACGGGGGGAGTGCGAGAAAAATGTTAAATTGCGTGCACATATATGCAAACTTTTTATTCTGGATCTGCAAAATATACGAACATTTCCCGAAGAAACCAGGTAAGTATGGCTTTATTTCTTTGTGCTAATATCCATCAAGGCGATAAACTGTTTAGCGTTCATTCTGGAGGCAAGCAATGTGCTTTTATGAGTTTACGGCGCTTCTTAGACTTCTTATAGCCCGAAATAATTCCCATTGGCATTGTCCGCATGGTGACCTGGTCGTTTATAGAACATTTGATAATTTTATGTCATATTCAAGGAGACGAAATGTACTTATAAAGAGCTCTGAAGTAATATGATTCATGAATGTACCGGCAGTTTTAATAATAGCCCGCCTGATCTATTCGTCAATAATGCCTTCATATTTATACAAGGAGTCACAATGCACTCAGTTTATTTGTTTGTTTATATGTGCCAAGACGATGAGTATTGTGTTCACTTCTAGATGTTTATAGTTTAACAACAAACGCGGAATGTTGTTAAATCAGGCTTACTGTAATAAGATTCCTAGAGCAATCCAGTGTGGATTGTTGTCTGCACTTTAAATATTGACTTACCAGCAATTACATGTAATAGTATGTCAACTGACTTTTGTAAAGATATGACTGTCTGTTTATATATACATTATATGAAATAATCCTACCGGCCTACATTCATATATTCACCTGGCTGTGTCACTACATTTCAGAGTGTATTTATATTTTTCGATAATGCTCACAATTAGAAATGTCAACAAATAGATCTTGTCTCCCCATCAGCATAATGTTCGGTTGTTCTGTACTATGGGCAGCCTTGAAGGTGGCATTAAAACAATAATTGGAACAAAACCTGACTGAGTATTTTCATATAAACATTGTACAGTATTCAGTGGCAAGCTAGCCATGGCAACTGGCCATGCTATGCTGATAAACCTGCATCTATAATTTTGAATAATGCAAATCATTAAAATTGTTGCTATGGCTAACTTCACCACTGACAGTATTATAATTATACAAAAGCAAGAAGTTATAAGCATTGAAGATATTCATATAAAACCGCCCATGCCAAGAAAGTAGAATTAGACTACTTTTAGCCACCCTTCGACTTTGTGCAAGATGTTTGATATTCAATTTGCCTTTTTCCTATCTCCTGAACAGGCGTCTTAGAGGCTGTTTGCATGATGGAAGGAACAATGATTTTGATGTATTGAAATATTAGTCACTAGGCTAAATAGTGAAAGTTCAAATGCTGGTTAGCAGAACTCAAATGTTGTAAAGAAGATCTTGTGGTTCAAGAAGATTATACTATGCTTGAATAGGCAACCTTTCGTTTACAGTTAACTATAGTCTATCTCTAGAAAATAGTGTAGTTTTTTGCTGAATCATGCACTGTGACGTATTTAAGTACATCAAAATCAGGGATGCCGGAACCACGGGTGCAAGTGCACCCCTTGCCTTTTGCATTTTCAACTTTGTGGGTGCAGTGCGGGTGCAGACTATGGGTGTAACAGGTGCACAAAACTTTTACAACAGACAGAATTAAACATCGTTCGAGGATGTGTGTGGGGGTGTTCCACCCCCCAGTTGTCAGGAATTCGGCAAAATTGTTATCCATTTGGCGAAAGGTGAAACAGAAAGCATTACTTATGGAATTTTTGGCGAGAAATTACGGAGGAATTGTGCCTAAATAATTGTATTCGGTCCGAAAACATTTGGTGACGGGGAGGGAGGTTGACACGAATGTAGGATCATGACGCCCTTTCATTTTCATTGGTGCCTTTTATTAAGGCGTATGCCCTCATGTTAACCAATTGCACCCCTTGCCCTCAGCAACTTCCGGCATCCCTGATCAAAATCATCTTGCCTCATATCTCGTCCTGGCAAAGCGGGATCATATAAACAGCCCTTATTCAGCGAATTGTGCATGCTGCCTTTGATCCCTTGGGGGTGAGGCAGCATTTTCCTTGCGATAGTAACTTCTAGTACTATAATAGATTGATATATACTAATACTATAAGAGATGTTTGCAAAACATCGGGAGTTGAACTTCGCCTAATCATGTTTTCTATTTATTGGATGATAGGGGTGTGAGGGGGTTCTCCGCCAGGCGATTGTGATATTCTTGAAGCTCGATGACTGCATTTCTTGCGTTTTCTGAAGCAAATTCGTAAAAGAATTGCACTAACATTTCTGACAATTCGCTATTTCGCTAAGGCAATCCTTAATTGAAAGGGCACCTTTGCCCCTCCTGGTAAAGGGCAACGGGGGCGGCTGCCCCTCCTGCCCCCCAGTTCCGGCGTCCCTAATAAGACATTATTTGACAGTGGGAATACATTACGTAAGTGCAAGTATAATAGGGTCTTGGTATTGGGAAAAGGGTGCAGTCTGGGTGCCAGATATAAAGAGGACTGTCGGCACACTCCTCTTTTAATAGTTCGTTTGAAACAAGGTAGTACTGACAATACATGTAAGCCTTTTCACACACTACCTGCACCATAAAATAAAGCAAAAAACAGATGCATTTTGAAAATCCAAAATATAGATTAAAATCAAGACAAATTTCAAGATGCATCGTTTTCGGAGTTTGTTTTATTTCATACTTCTTCAAATTGCAGCTGGAAAAGGGTTTTGGATGAATCTTAGTCTAAATGATATCGACTACCTTTATTGTAACAGGAAAAAGTATTAACTATAATTATAAAGTTATCTAGCATACGGCCCTCACAATATTTACAAACACGAGAACAAATTTTATAAACAAAGTGACATGATTTAATACTTATACACCAAAAGTAATACATCTACAGTTATTATTATCTTACAGTAAAGTATATATATATATATATATATATATATATATATATATATATATATATATATATATATATATATATATATATATATATATATATATATATATTTAAAAAACTCATTAATAATTCATGAAAAAAACACAAAGAAAAATCATAAGCGTGTCGTATCTGTATATGTGATACAGATTCATGTTGATTTACATAAACTTTAACTTTGATTTTCTCGGCTTAGATAACGTTTATTTTTAAATTACTTCGCCAATGAACTCATAAGATGAGGCGTTTTTTAAGTTGTTTACAACATTCGCGTCCGTGTTGTATCAGATATACAAACTCTCGCCTTCGGCTCGAGTTTGTATATCCGATACAACACGGCCGCTCATGTTGTAAACATTAC